TCACACCACAGACAATTCTCGAAAACATTGCCAATTGAGTTCGGTGTAATTGCCTCACTGTAATGGACTGGAATTTTGAAAGTATAGAAGAAGCATCTCTGCATTTTTACCCTTCTTACAGAGAATTGAAAAATCGACTTTTTTGCTAAGAGCTCACTAAAACTTATTACAGAGCTGCTCGGTGGAGCCAATATTAAGCTGGGTTTAGACAGGGCAAGTCAATTGATCAAGTCAGTTGAATTCAACTGACTTGAACGCAAATTGAACGTGTAAACCATGCCATTCAACTGACTTGATCAACTCACTTGAATTGAAAAAAGTTGTATCAGGCTCAACTTTTCAAGCCAATTGAATTCAACTAAGTTGATCAATTGACTTGCCCTGTCCAAACCCAGCTTTAGTGTGATTTAGTAAACAAAACTAAGGGTGCACAATTCCGATTCTCGAATAGCTTCTACCCATTAATGATGATTGGAAATTCACACAAATTCCAGAGTTCCACCAAGAGAGATTTCATGATTCCGATCCTTATAAATCTTTGAGTAATTTTGAATAATTAATAATTGCTTGAGTAACCCCACAGTAGGCTGACTTCTTCTAATCTACGGAATTGACCTCAAAGAAACCTGGCATCACTGGTGCTCTCGCGTAGGTCACAGCTCCGATGAATCAGCTGTTTTTGGTCAAAACAAAAACTCAATCAAAAACACCCCCTGCTAATGGATCGCGAATTAGATCGTAATTCAGATTCACACCCATGCGCTCCATCCAGCAGGTGGCCAGCATCGAATAATTGGTGGCGAAAACCCACCTCGATTTCGAACCCTCACCAGCCCAGCAGCCAATTTGAGGAACACTCTCGCACAACACTCGATGCTTCGACTTTGTTTTCATTCAATATAATTGCCACATTGTCAGTACTGATCATTTTCATATTCCACGGTTGTATAGTTCAATTATAAACCTTCTGATCGATGAGAAGATGAGAAACGAAACACAGCGACGAGGAGCGCGTAATAAATTTATCGATTGATTTAATTGCTCTGTTGTCTATGACCGTTCGATGGCACTGAGGAATAGTAGATTCTCAATCCTGTTAATAGGTGTCATTTTACATTTTCCATTACATACACGTGTTGATGTACGTGTTCGTTGGTTTATTGACTAACCGGATAATTGGAACTATTCATTAGAATAGTCCCGGACACGCGAAGCTTGTCGCTTGCAAAATGTAGGCTATTATTCAAACGGTTCGCTCATTTCGACGGCTGTAAATGAGTTAATTGACATTAAGTGACGATACAATCTTTCGAAGTAACGGTCGCGAACTGAATTTCCTAAATAACTTCATTAGAAGATCACTTGTTCTCAAAAGATGATACATTGGAAACGCTTGAATGTGCTTATTTTCTGAAAGGGTCCTATTTCCAGTTGTCGATCAAGTGATCAACTTCTAACGGGACCAGTGCAAATACGTACAATCTTTAATTTAATCTGTGCACTTCTGACTGTATGCATCAATATTGTAGATCCACCACTCAGTTGGCGGTAGAAAGTGAATGAAGTTAATCGATTTTTGATCGACAACCGAATAGGACCTATTCAAAAAGGACTCCAGAAAACAGGCTAACATTATTCGACAAAACGCTAAACACAGCCTATTGCTTCAATTACCATCAAAGCAAAGTGCCTAATCGTTAACCACATACCATTTATTGCCCACAATCGTCGAAATTCGAAATGGACAGCCGTACGACGCACACCATATAGCACTCACTACTGCTACAGGCAAGCAAACAGGCAGTACTGCTAAACATACCCTTCCACTCGTTGATGGCCTTAAGGTGCTGCCGCTAATTAGGTTGCCTCAGGTTGCATAAAAAGAATAAAAAGAAAAAAACTGAAATCTCCTCCTCCTTTCCTCGGTTCTACCATCATGGGAAGGTTTATTACATTTGGGTGGAAAAACGAGGTTAGACACTTCTAGCGGCGAGAAGGTGACGAAAGTTCCACCAACCAAGTAGGCAAGGCAACCACCATCAAAGCAAGCCTGCAATCACCATGTGTTGTTGGTAAACCTTCCTAGTATGAAGGTACCGTAAAACGGGGTAGGTTAGGTTAACTTTTTTTTTATAAGGGAGGCTTTCAGCCAGGGGCTGGTTCAGCTCCGATAAGGCGGAGTAGCTTTGATAGTTATTATTAAGTATATTCTAAATATTTTTTACAATAAATCAGGTTTTTCTATTTTTTTTTTCTTCAACCAAGTACTGAGGATCTTTGAGTATATTCGTTAGTTAGGGGAATTTACGTTTTCTCGGCAACCTAAGCAGCGACCTTCTTTCTATAGCCTTTTTCTCTAAGGAACGCACACATATGCAGTATTGGTTTGTTTACAATCTTTTGCTGCCAGCTGCTCTAACAAGTTCAGTCGAAAGAATTGTCAAAAACTGTTTTGAAACGCTTTTACAAAGCTCCAATCTTCTCTAGTGAGAGCGAGTATTGTCGGCAACCAGTTTTTCTTCGGCAACCGTTCCATTTGAACTGCATGTAAATCTGCTATTCTATTATCGGCAACTCGAAATCAGCTACAATTGGTAGTGCGTGTGTTGCATTTCAAGAAAACGTTGCTAGATTGCTTTTTCTCAGTGGTAAAAATATAGTCAAATTGAAGCTGAAAGCATAAAGAATCGTTTGCATGCATTCAGCGAAGTGTTTTCGTAAGAAAATCCAGTGAAAATAGTGTTTCAATTTGTGTTGCCGAAAATAGTCTGTCATGCCGAAGCCGTCATTTCCCCTATATGTTTAATGGGAATTATTGCATACGCACTTTTTTTTGTCTTATGACCCAAACATCAGTTTTTTATTTTATTTTGGGTTACTTTGATAATACTCGATGAATGAAGAAAAACATGGGTGAATCTCCAACAATTAAATAAATATCAAACTTTGAATGAGTACATCATTAGGAACATAATAATCAATAAGAAGACAACTTTGAATTTGTGATGACTATATCTGAAATACATTTAATAAGTGATTGTTTCAGTGCTTTTTCATTCAAGCGAAACCCAAGAAAACTTTTTTTTTCAGATATTAGTAAAATATGTAAAACAAACTATATAAAATTATATACGATACCCTAAGCTACAAAATGGAACCAATGTTTCCAATTTGAAAATAGTGCAGTGAGTAAATTGAATCATTATATTCTACTATCAAAGATACCTCGTTTAACGGTACTCCTAGCTGCATACCTAGCAGGAGACCACAAGATTAGAAAATCTTTCACTGAAACATGTTTGTCAAGAAAGCTCCTTAGTGTGGGTAGGTTGGCTAAGGTGGGTAATACGCCCCACTTCCAACAGCGTTTGTTTATGTGTTTTTATAAACTTATTCAAAGGTTGTTCACCCAGTATTACTAGATGAACTGCTGAGCTATCATTTGGAAAACTGTTCATACCAATTGTTCTTTGAAGAGTACGAGAAAAAGGCCGTTGATGATATTACCCGAGGTGCGTATTACACCCAGTTCCCCCACGACACACTGCGACTTGAGTTGTGGTAGGTCAGCCCTGGCCACACCAATTAGAGCCTTCTGAGTCTGACTGACTGACTGGTTTAGCATGCTTTCATTATGCAACCGATCTTAAGACCACGGAGGAGAGGACCGTAAGAAGCTGAAACGCTACACCATTGACGACTACGACTATGACGACTTGATGCTACCAACAACAAAAACAACAACAACAGCAACCAAAGAATGTGACAGTGCAAAAGATTAATTCAAATCAATTACCCGCCCGGTGTGTGTAATATGATAGGCTTTTTCATCGCTTCGAATAATAAAAATAGGGTCTTTGTTTCTAATCTTGGCCTACGAATCTAAAAATTGAGCCCATTGGTAAAAATCTCCGTTTCTTAAATGTTTCATTGAACAATGATGCATCAACTTGGACAATACAAATGGCAATTATTGATAACTAATGAACCGTTCATCAAAAAAAGCCTTATTTCGGAATTTATGCTTGGGTATTTAGGCCGACATAAGGGACATCAACCCTAGGTGTCCACAGATGGTACCATCCCAAAGACGAAGCAGTACCCGTCGTTCATGGGTATCCATTACCGCCGACGCAGACACGACAAGAAGAAGGTGGCACCTAGCAAGAAGATCTTGGCTGTAAAGAAAAACCACTTTTACTCCTTAGGTGTCTCATATCTCACGAAGTTGTCGGTGCGGCCACTGTAAAGAAGGCAATCGCCATTCATGGTTTTGTTTTTTTGGTCCCAGTAATGAGATGGCGATATCCAGTTTTTTGTTGTTTGCATGGTTGAGAAGGTGGATTAGAGTGAAAACACAGAAGCCTTGTTTATCGACAAATCAGTCGAAAACAAACAAGCACTTTTTCCTGTAAAACAGTAAGCGGTGAGCGGTCCGACTTTCAATATAGTACCGTTGTACTCCTTTATTACAGTACCGCAAACGACGTACTAGATTATTGGAGTTCAACGGTACTAAAATCATGTCTGTCGATGGTATTACTAAGAGTTGTAGTTTGGAGCAACGGGCAAAACAACTTAAATATATTTGCAAACGTTATCAAATGTTTCAAAAGATCATTGAAAATATTGAAGTATAGAATATAGAGCTTTTTGTGCTGAACAATGTTTGTTCTATGAATATATTTTCTGTTAAAAATGAAAATACTGTGGGGAACGACTTTAGCCCCCCTAATCCTATTCCAAGCACCGGGTTTTTCTAAAGAAAATTATTCAGAAATCTATCTCAAAGGTTGCTATATGATGTGAAGCAAAAAATGAGCGCTGTAAGTTATTATTTGCTCCATGCTTGGAATGGAGTTCTGCACCCTATCAACAAATATCTTAATATATGCAGCCAAGAGTCTTGTTCCCAGGTTCGGAATGCACGTGATACTGGCATTTTAATTAATTGCAAAGCATTTTATAATGAATATATTCTTACTATTGTTTCATTCCAGATCGCATAGCAGTAATTATATTCGGGATAGCAACCCTCATAGCTGGTGTGATATTATCTTCGGTTCCTTGGCTAAATATTTTTATTATGAAGGTAAGTTAATATCTACTTTATTTTTAAAAGACTGAGGTTTGAATACGGCAGCCTATTAAACATCCATTATAAAAGGATAAAACAAATAATTGTTGCAATAGGAAATCACTTTTTAGCCGCTTTAACTAATAAAAAGAGCAACAAACAAATTGTGGTAGCTTAGCGTTTTAGACTTTGCTCATAGTACAGTGGGGCGAGGGTGGACATAATATAAAAAAACACACACACATTTTTGTCGAATACAGCAATATGGTATCTCGTAAAGATCACTCGATATTGCTGATTTTCTCTATAAAATACGCCCTTTTCAAATTTTAATTGCTCAGCATGGGGCAAATCCACACAAATTTCTAAGCAAAGATTTCAAAGGGCACAACTTGAAGTATATAGGGTGTCCCAGAATGTTGAGCTGTTCAGTCCGTATTTTCGCTCGAGATCTCGTTTCTATTTTGTTTCATTTTGTGTTGTCGCGTTGCACCGTGGAAGTGTCGCCACCTTCTCGCGCTCTGGCAAGTTTACTTGAACTTGCAAAAACGAAACAAATGGTGCGTAAACGTGCCAATGAGACAGCAGCGGGCCCTTCAAAGAAGATGCTAATCAAGCCCAGCGCGTCGCAGGATGACGCCGGTAAACGGGTACTGCAAGCCAACCAGTATGCAGTACTCCCGGAAGAAAATAGCGATGGTGACGCCGTTCCCATTGCAAGAAAAGAGCGGATTCCCCCGCTTTTCACGCCGGTGAAGGATGTTGCCAAGCTAGGTGCCGAACTGGCAAAACACAAGCTGCTGCCTCGCTTCAAGCTTTGCAGCATCGGTACCAAAATCATGTGCTCCAGCCTGGAGGAGTACAAACAAATAAGATGTTTCCTGAAGGACAACAACGTGGACTTCTTGACGCATGATCTGCCATGGAGCAAGCCACTGAAGGTGGTTTTGCGTGGATTACCGTTGGTCGAGGCGGTTGCGGTGAAATCCGAGCTGGAGCGGCTGAGGCCGTGTTCCAGATGAACCGGCGTTCCAACAACAATACCAGCTTCCGTGACCAGTTGTTCCTGGTGCACTTCACGAAGCGATCCACCAGTCTTGCGGCTCTGAGATCGAAAATCCGGGACCTGTTTCAGGCAAGGTTGCAAAGACTCATTTCAGCTAAAATAATGTTCTTCAGAATAATAAAACCAAAAGATGGTATGATGGCATGTTTTACTTGTAACTTACAAGAAGAGGTTACAAAGTATGCGTTGGAAACATAAAACCTGTAAATTTTGCTTTCTATGAGTCACAATCAGCGATTTGCTGATCGCTGAGTGAGTGAGTGAGTGAGTGAGTGAGTTTGTGAAAAATCGCTGATTGTGACTCTCATGAAGTGAAATAAACAGGTTTAATATGTCAAACACATTCTTTGCAACCTCTTCTTGTATCCTACCAATTCAAAATAATTATTTCATAATTTAGAAAAACATTGTTTTAGCTGAAATGAGTCTTTGCAACCTTGGTTTCAGGTCATCATCAGTTGGGAGCATTCCAAACCCCAACATCGTGATGTTACGCAGTGTATGAACTGCCTCTCCTATGGCCATGCCACCAAAAACTGCCATATGAAGACAAACTGCGGCAAGTGTGCTGGAACTCACTCAACTGCGTCCTGTGAGCAAGTCGATAAAATCGAGCCAACGTATGTCACCTGCGGTGGAAACCACCAAACCTCCAATCGCGGATGTCCCAAGCGACTGGAGTTCATTAATATCCGTCGGAAGGCTACAATTAACAACCAGCTCGGTCGCCTCCGTAATCATCGTTCACCTCCTGTACTCACGGAAGTCCAGTACCCAGCCCTCCAGCCCCGTCGACATGTTCCGAACCTAGTCCCACTTCCGCTCAACAACCAACAAGCCAATCCTGCGAGTATCCAAATGGTACCCAACAGTCGGAAAGTTCACCATCGTCTCGCTGCTGCTGCGGCCCAGCCAATTCCAGGTTTATCCACCGCCCCTGGTTTATCATACGCTGGTGCTATCTCAGGTGAACCTGTCGACGATTCTCCGTTCACCTCGGAGGAACTTGTGACGCTCGTGGCCGAGGTCATCATCATCATGCGCACATGCAAGACTCGATCTGAACAACTACACGCTGCCCTGTCCCTTGTCACTAAGTATGGACCGTGAAGCCATTAAGATCGTAAATTGGAATGCTTGCTCTTCGTCTTTCTTCCCGAATTTCGGCTCGTAAGGCTTGACCGCACCAGCTCCGGGGGAGGGGGAGTGACCATCACTGCGAGACGGAACATCAGCTACCGGCTACTACCAAGCTTCCAGCTGAAAATTATTGAAGCCATCGGAGTGGAGGTGAGCAAATCGCTTGGTCCAATCACCATTATCGCGGTCTACTGCCCCAAGCAAACCAACATTAGGGACGGTTTGGCCGCAGACCTCCGAAGAGACACCATCAAACTAACACGACGGCGGCATAATTTCGTCATCGCTGGCGACTTGAACGCCAAGCATCAAGCCTGAGGCAATAGTCGGCGAAACCAGAACGGCACAATCTTATACAACGATCTGCTGGAGGCCCACTACAACATCCTGTGTCCGGACACTCCCACCCGGTTGAGTCGATCTGGAGCTCATGCTACCATCGACATCTTCATCAGCAACATATTGGCGATAACATCTCTCAACCTATCGCCTATCAGGAACTGAGCTCGGACCACTATCTGGTGGTGGCTGAAGTAGGTTCCTCGGCCAATAGGTTTCAAGTTTCCCGGCGAAATGATGCTCCCAGCACCGCCCGTCATCCAATCGGACAGCATACCGAAGTTTTCCAACTTTCTCCGAAATCTTTCCAAACTTCCACTTGTCAGCAGACAAGAAATCTCGAACACGCACACGATCACCACATCTTCGCCGCCGGGTAAAGCAGGTGCATAAGAACGCCTATCAATGGTTGTTGGGTTCTGCCCTGACCGGCGATTTGCGACCTCTGTGCACCTGAACTCCGATTCTTACCTCCACGCGGTGCCCGGTGTGGTTGCTGGCGGTGATATTTGCCGTCAGTAATGCGAACAAGAACGGAGGATCATCGTTGTCACCAAAGCACTACTGTCAATACATCGGTAGTGCCCGTGATGACGATGACAGAGCAAAAAGGTTAAATCCAACTTTAAGTAGCCTGTGTTTATCGCTACCTGGTTACGACTTGGCCGTCCTGAATGAACTATCTCCACCTCCTCAAGGTGGTTTGTTTAAAAGGACGTTAATAAATGGAAGCACATCTTCGCACTAACGACTTCGTTCTTCGGTAGCATTAAGTCAATTCTTGTTGATTGTCCTGTCGTAGGATGTATCATCTTCTGGTATACCAATATTATTATTGCAGAGTTCCACATTCAGCTGCGTCTTCGTGCAGTTTAGCGACTTCAGTTTCTGCTTCATTGTTTGCACATAGCGCTCAGCTTGCCCATTTGTTGCAGGGTGATAGGGCGCTCCCATCTTGTGAACTGTACCGTTCATCAGTAGGAACTGCTGAAATTGCTCGGATGTAAACTGAACACCGTGATCGCTCACAAGCACCGACGGTATTTCAAAAGTACTGGAAACATCCAGATTGTGCTATCGGTAGTGATGGAGCTACATACTCAAACCTCCGGCCATTTGGTATAGGCATCGACCAGAATGAAAATGTATGTGTCCATTAATGGTCCCGCGAAGTCCACATGAACTCTTTGGAACGGTGCAGTAGGGGTTTCCCAGCGGTGTAATGACATCTTCGCCGGCACGGGTCTCACCGACTGGCATTCGACACAGCTTGCGATCATCTCCTCAATAGCACTGTCCATTCCGATCCACCAGCAATATCCTCTCGCTAATGACTTGGTCCGCGTTGTTCCAAAGTGCGTAGAATGCAGCTCCTCGAGAACTTGCTTCCGTAGAGAATGTGGCACATACACCCGTATACCACGCAGCAGACAGTCTTTTTTTAGAGTGAAGTCGCTCTGGTCAATTCCAAATCGATCCTTTCGATCCTTCGACCAGTACACCGTATTTGACTCCTTGAATTAAATTCCTTACGGTTGAATCTTCAGCAGTTGCTTGAACCAATTCAGGAACAGTAAGTGGAAGTGTTTCGATTTGGTACATTTCTACTAAGTCCGACTCTTTGATCACGTTATCTGCGTCAGCTAATTTCAGTGGAATCCGAGACAAAGCATCTGTATTGGCATGGTTCGCCGACCTTCATAATCAAATGACTGCAGCTAGGTTGCATAGTGCTTGATCCTAAGGGCGGATATAATAGGCAATCATTTGTGCTCCCCGAATATTTTGATTACTGCTTGATTGTCTGTAACCAAAGCGAATCTGCGACCGTACAGAAATTGGAAACATTTCTTGAAGCCAAAAATTATCGCGTACGCCTCTTTGTCCACGTTTAGGTATGCTGGTTGGGTTCGATTCAGCGTTTGGGATGCAAACTGATTCGGACGCTCCGAACCAACTGGGTAGATGTGGCTAAGTACGGCTCCAACTCCGTATGGCGATGCATCGGTAGCCAACAGCAGGGGCAACTCGGAAGAACAATGTACGAGGCAGGTTTCCGCTTGCATTTGTTCCTTCACAGCGTGACAAGACTACTCACATTTCTTACTCCATACGAACGGCACAACGTTTTTTAGAAGGTTGTTCAGGGGATAGAGCACAGTACTCAGGTTCCGGAAAAATCTACCATAGTAATTGATAAGACCAACAAATGAACGTACCTCGTCCTTGTTTTCCGGTCTCCCCATCTCCTGGATTTCCTCTACTTTTTTCTGGATCTTGTAGATGCCCTTACAATCGATCAGATACCCGCAGTACTCTACCACGTCCGTAAAAAAATCGCATTTGTCACGGTTGACTTGAATGTTATTTTCATCCAGACGGCGCAATACTTCCTTCAATCGACGCAAATGAGTCTCGTCATTATGTCCAGTGATCTTGATGTATGTATGTATGTATGTATATACACGGC